ACGCTGTTGAAATAACCGGGAACCAGTGAAACTGAAGGTACATATTTTCCCTTTTTTTGTAACTTTTCGATTCTATTAATTTCATTACAATAAACGAAAATATGTTAATTGCCAGTAATAATAATAATAGTAGTATTAAAATGTCATATTTGTTCAACAAGTTGATATTTATTATTACTTAGTAGATAATGCATTGACGATTGAACAGTTAGATACTTGGATTGATGCTTAGTGAGAATATCAACACTAGAATATAAATGCATCTATCAACTAAAGAAACGTAAATAAGATCAAAAGTAAACATTGCATTCCACTATTCATCATTATCCTTGGAAACATGAACCAAAAATATGATGTACAGTTTACTATACAAGTTTATACTTGATCATATCACTGAATGATATCAATTTTGTGATTCTATTCACATATGGTGTTGTGGATGCGGAGGAATAGACCAATAATTGTCATGTTAAGTCCAATGGTGTCCTTGGACTTTAAATGGACATTTTCTATTGGTCGATATCTGTTCACTTGTTGAATATTGTACAAAATGTTGTTTTCTATTTTATGGTACGATGTGGTGTGCTTGATTGGTATATAAACAAAGTATGTTTGAAATATAATGATTCATATCTCCGAGGCTGTGGCTTGTGTTCTGGACTCAACTAACTGGGCTAGACAGGGAAGTGGGACCAATCGAGACTCTAGGCCGTCCGTACGTGTTTACGTGTCATTGAATCGATTGATAAATACGCTGTTTCAAGGACACAACAATTAGCACAGGGTAAAAATCGACTGCAACCTAAAGCCATAACATATGGATAGAAGGAAATGAAGCCACATTTATTCAATGTACATTGAATTATATCAACCAACTGATGATAACACATCAAATACAAATACATTTATTTTACATGTATATTTTTGAAGAGCGTATTGTTTACTACTTAAGTAGTAATAGTAGTAATAATGATAATATATAAAAATGGATATTGTAATTACAGCAAAATGTGTGCAATATCTCATTCTCTTATTGTTTTCATCATAAACTGATACCAGCAGGAGTGATTTTATTCCAGTACTTTCACGACTAACTATTCATTGAATGATGACCAATGTTGTGACATGATCTTCTACATCAGGTCATTCCTAATACGAATAGTTTAGTGGTAACATCTCAGATGTTAGCTTAGGTAACGCTGGTTCAAAAGACACAAGAAAAATCTAATAGTTCACATTCAATACATACAGGTTTCATACTAAGCATACTTCCTTTAGGACATTTCATACACCATACAATTCCATCATAACGCACATGAGAGGACTCTATCAGTTACAACCCCTCATGACAACAATAATAATCAACTACATTAAACACATCGATTATTGGTGTGTATATCATTTTTGTCAAGTTTTGTGATTTGTACATGTTGATCCATGTTCAAATTAACTTATAACACAATGAACTGACATTCATTAAAGGATTATTGAAAATCGTTGACAACTAATTGAAGACGATTTCTTTTAATGTTTGAATAAAAACCCCTTACTTCAGTCATATGTAAAAATTGAAATAAATAGTCAAATACACATCAATTAGGTTTATATCTATCATGAATATTGTAAAGAAGAATTATAGAACTATGTCAAAATTGTTTCACATCAAACATTTTGATCAATTAGCTTACCCCTACTGTCATTTTACAGTTCATATGTATATTAGTTACATAATAATACAGAATTGAGAGATCTGATTTTATCATTGATTTCCTTTTTTTTGTTGTTGTTGTTGTTGTATAATCATTAAAGAAGTACTAACAATTGAGTGAATTATTTGATCTCTTATTCTTTCTATTGCTGACAAACAGTGAAGGATAATATTGTCTAATTTGTCATTTGGACAGTTTTATATTTCTAATCCCATTCGTTTTTGATTACTTTATAGTTAGTTGACCTAAAGATTAGCATAGAGATTGAATGTCATAAAGTTAAACTTTTACCAATGCTGAACTAGTTTTAGATGTATACACTTTTATTAAACATGTTAGATAAGTGAAATTGACTATCTAATTAATGACAGCACAGATTGATAGTACCAAAAACATCATTGAAAATGAGTCCAGTATAAAAAGCCGTTTCGTTATGATTGGACAGTTTACAGTAATAGGTATTTATAATCTCGAAAGTAATTGAATTCGGAATCTTCAGAATATTCAACGATAACGTTGTTTTAGACTATAGTTTAGGTTTTCGACCGAATTTCAATATGGATAGATCACCTCATTTCTAATACGTTTAAACCCTTACTTACTTACGCCTGCTACTCCTCGTGAAGGAGCATAGGCCGCTCACCAGCATTCTTCAGAAATTTAAACCCTACCGGTTACGAATTCTGTCTGAATTGGTTAAATTCACATCTTGTCTTCTCATTCAAGTAATAGGTCGATCTCATGTATACAAGGCGTGCATATCAGTGTCAAACAAGAATGTTTTAATCCATTATCAAACAATAAACAGTTAGTGTAATGTAGCAGAAAGATTAGTTCATAGATTTAATAATTACAAGTTTTCAGCATGGGGGTTGTGGAGATTGTTAAGTTTTTTGGTTGAGATCATGAATTAATTGATGTCAGACCACCGTTGGAAAACTGGAAGCACTGGACGGCCGTTTCGTCCTAGTATGGGACTCCTCAGCAGTGCGCATCCATGAGTTTATAATTTATGTGACATATTAATGAATAAATACATGTTAGACGTAAACTATTCATCAAATGAAGCCTAACAAACATTGTAGGTTACTGTTACATGATGGTGATTACTATTTTAGAAGGAAAATTGAACCTCATTTCTCCGATTTGTGGTGAATTGCCCACAACTATAAACATTAAATAGTAAGTTTTCTGGGTGAAACACACTGAAATATTTAAGTTTACACTTATTATTGAATATAAACATGAAATAATTATAGATTATGTAGTGTTTATTATTGATTGCTGCTTATAATTAGACTTTGAGGTTTATGAACTCTTTAATTGTACTTCTATTGTGTGATATGGGTACAGCGATTTCGATGGTTTGGATATGATTTTAAAATGTTATCTTAAAGCTTTCCAAATTGTACTTTATTTTCAAACGCTTAAACTGATTATAGACATAGTTAATTTATGACATCGTATTGTGACAACTGTCAGTGTATCACAACTCCTTGAATAATGTCCTAGAAATGGTGACGTTCAATTACTTGAGACGTTTACAAACATGACTACAGTCAAAAGACAATCGAGATCTTTCAAGAGTTTTTTTTACATTCCTCATCAAAGTAAGAGGAACTACATGATCTGAAGAAAGTTTTTCACAGGTGTATTTTCATCTGAATTATATCTCTCATTATAAATCACCATTTCTTATCGTTTGATTCGTTATTTGTATGACGTCCCTTCTCTCCTCTATTTGAATGGAGCATATTCAATTTGGTGACTATTTGTACCAGTATGCATATGTATTAAATAGTATAGAAAAACTATTCCAAATGGTTTAAACATTAGTACGGTTATATTTTTATGAGATTTCATTCTGATCACCTTTCTAGGGCAAGACTATAATTTATGGACGAACCAATCAGATATAAGATAACCAGTCACGAATTTTGGCGCGAAATTTATCTCTACATTTGCTTAAATAGAGTTTTGGCATTATAGCTAATATAAGTTTGTGATGAAAACCCTAAATCTAATTCCTAAACTTAACTATCAACTGTAAATGAGAATTCTAAATGTTTTACAACTCACATTTGGTCCTAATCAGTAGGTGTTCATTCTCAAGTTCATTTCAGCGTTGCTCAAAGATCATGCACAAATTAAACACTTAAATTTATATTTTTTTGATTGAGACTATGAAAGAATTGATGTTAGACAACCACTGGAAACCTCGAAGAACTGAACAGCCGTTTCGTCCTATTGTGGGACTCCTCAGTAGTGCGCACCCACTATCCCGCTCGCAAGATTCGAACCCAGGGCCTTCAGTCTCGCGCGCGATTGCTTAACCCACTGGACCACTGAGCTGGCATCCAATGGTGTTAATGTCTAACACTAACCAGTTCACGAGATTACGCGACCAACTTCCATTGTACTAAGGTAAATACCTGTTTCTACCCGACACGGATTAGCTCCACTGGTCACGGCTTCTCACTAGAACTCCGAGAATTCCCTCACGAAACTGGTCACTAGTGAGCACATGTTCATGATTTCAATAAAAAAACTTAATAATCTCCACAACCCCTATACTGACTTAAAGTTATTATGATTATTTATTTATTTTACTTCAACACATAAATATTGGTACAAGAGGGCACCAAATATATATGCGCCACACTATATTTGCGTGTGTTTGGGCTGTGATACTGCCCGGGTGCCTAAACAGAAGCAGGTGATTTTTTTAGGGAGCCACACCCGGAGCCTTTGTCTTAAAGGTCTGGTCCACAAGGCAGTGGAGCAACGTCAGGAGATGCAGTCCCATGGTAGCCGGTGACCAACGATTGGTTCATACGCCATTTGTTCCTGCAGGATACTGGATCCCATATGCACCATTGGTTTGGAATCCGGTTAAAGCACCGGACATTCGCTTTTCATCCTCTCAATTTCGTAAACAACAGTAATGTCACGAGAAGGTAATGAGAGTAGGACTTCCCTGACAGAGGCTATATACGCGTAGTCGTATGAGAGCATTTCGAGAGGGAGGGCGGGCCCACCTTACTCTCGGCCATACCAGGGCATTTGGTGGCACTTAAAGTTATAAATGTATTATACAGATTAGGATGTAACATGAACAGTTCTTTACTTGAATGATAAATGTTATAATTCTATTTCAAGAAAAAAACAAACTCTATTCAAATATTCAATATAACTTACCGATAATCAGTAGTATATTTCATCAAGATATCAAATTACCAACAACAACAACAAAATTCGAAAAAAAAAATAAAACAAAATAAATGAGTAGTGGAATGAGAAGAAAAAAAAATAGAAAGAAATTAAATCATTTTTGAATTCGATTGTTTTTTTATCATTGGACTGATTAAACATTGTGTTTCACTATTGAATGTTAAAGATTGATCTTCTTGATGTTGTCGTTTTCGTCGTCGTTGTTGTTGTTTTTGTTCTCCTTCATCATCCTCATCATCATCATCATCAGGATCATGTTGTTGTTTTTGTTTATTATATAATAAATGTTTATTAAATTGTATTAAATATTTAATTAATCTCCATGAACATATTAAACATATCGATTTAATCATTACAATAATACCTTGTATTAAAAAAAACCAATGATATTGAAATGTTTCAGCAATAAATGCTGATAATAATGGGGATAATAACATACCAATACCCATACCACCTAATGATAATGAATAAGATATATAACCAGGTAATAATGTCATTTCTTCACTAACTGGATATAAAAATGTTATAGATGGTCCTAAAAAAAATCCATTCATATATGATAATATAATACTGATAATAGAATTCCATGCAAAATATTCCCATAATATTAATCCAATTGACATACATATACTTGTTATAATTAAAATATATTTTAATTGATTTTTTAATAAATTTTTAGTATAACCAGTTAATAAAGCACCAATAATATAAGTAGTTGCTTCACCGGATGCAAATAAATTAGTTAATAAGATACTATTTTGTAATAATGTTTCATGTTGATAAACATAATCAGTTAAATTTAATAACATACCATATGTAACAATACTTGTAATGATTCTATCAATAAACCATAGTAACAATAATAGTTTTTGTTGCCAATATAAATTCCAACATATAATCCATAGATTCCATTGATGATGATATGATCATTATCAGCATTAGACTGGTTAGTTTTATATAATTGAGATGTAAGAGTATTCTTTTTAGAAAATATTATAGAAGTAATAAATAATATAATAAAATAAATAATACCAAGTATAATAAATGTTAATCTCCAATTATATAAATCAATTAAATAAGCATAAAATTCAATAAATAATATAGATGCAACTGAACCCCCAGATACTAATGTTGTTGCTAAAATATGATATGGATGATTTTTATAAAAATAATCATTTACTATTAAACTACATGTACTTAATATAAATGATGAACCAATACCATGTAATATTGTATGTGTTAAAAATAACCAATGTGGATTCAATACAAATGAACTAGTTATACATGCTAATAATATAAATAATGCACCAAAAAATTGTGTTATACCATATTTTTTATTTGTATATAAAATCAATGATGTTGTTATAGATGTGGTTAAATAACCTAATGCTGAATAAGAATCACCAATCCAATTTAATTCAACTAATGTTGTGCTATTATATTCTGAATGTAATTTTGCTATAAATATACCAAATGCTCTACGTTTACCACCTAAAAATATGACAGATAATGCAGCACTTATTAATATAAACCATGGATATAATTTATGCATATTCTATAATACATTCAATAATAATAATGATAATAATAATAATAATTGCCGTTGTTATGATTGTAATTGTTGTCGATGGTGCTATTTGAATATGAATCCACTATTTTATATGTATTTGACAAAATGAAATATAATGAGATAAGTAAAATAAAGAAAGAAAAAAAATGAAGAAAAAACCAACCAGAAATGGGTTTAGTTCACATGACCAATCAAATAGAGTTCATTAATCAATTTATACATTTGATTGGTGAATTAATTGATTATTTATTAAGTGCCTTTACTTAACCAATATAATTCAATATGAATGTTTGTTCTTAATATGGACGATAGTAATAATATTTGGTATTATATATCTTTTTTTTTAAAAAAAAAAGTGATTACTTTGATTGTATAATGACAAAAATTAATTTCAGGTACTTTTTTATAGTAATAGTAGTAGTAGTAGTAGTAATAGTAGTATATGTCACTGGTTAACTTAAGTATGGGAGTTGAGAAACGCTGAAGACCAGGTACTATCGAACAATTATTTCATTCTAGTATGGAACCACTTCAGGACTGTTCCAGAGCATATTACATAGTATTACATGAAAAGATAACTTTGAATGGATAACCACAAAAACGATTTTAGGCATTTCCTTCTATAATGTTAAATAATGACTTACGTAACTAGTTCTATCGATAGTCAACATTTTATGTTGATCATATACATTTTACTCAACTTAACTAGTTGAATGGACCATTTTTGTAACTCACACTATACATGTGTAATATGCATCTAATCATTGCTTCATATTTGTAGTTCCGACTTATTTTGTCTCTCGTTTGAGTTTATCTCCACATGATGTGTAGGATTCGAAAGCACCACTTCCAACCCTTTTAGCAAGTTAATCAAATTCCAAGCAACTATATGTATTAATTGCCTAGTGATCCCCTCTTCTCATATTTGTGCTTTTTGGGTTACTCTCCATTCAACCACAGTTCATACCATTGCATACAAAGCAATACATAGTCATAGACAATCATATAAACTACTGTTTTAAAGGACAATTTTTAGATTCATTGTGCATTCTCTCGAATTCTTAAGAAAATGCATAAATAGATTACTAATCGATAAATGATGGCATAATGATGCACTACAGTCATCTCACAAATATTCACAAAATCCAGTTATTGATGTATATCTCTTGAGTAGACTGATATGAAAATGAAATGCAGCAAATGAATAACTTGAACAGAGAATATGTAATCAAAGTGATAGTTTCTCAACACTATCATCCAATGTCCAATACACGTAAATGATTTCATATAAGTGAAACTACTTACTAATAATAGGTAGTATCACATAAATCCATAGAAGTCAGCTAGAACGAAATGAAATAAAAGTGAATTCAGTGTTTAAAAGCGTTGGTGTAAAAATATTTTTGTATCAATCAACGTCGTTTGGAAACTACTGAATTCCAGACAGCAAGTGAGTGGTTGTTGCGAAGCGGTGTATCTCGAACTCTAAGCTTTCAGTTCTTTCTAACGTCAAATATCACAATCAGCGGGATGTCATCGCTTCGAAAAACTAAAGAATATCTTGGGATAAAAGTGGGATGATTTGTTTGGTGGTTATATTTTTCCCTTTCCATTTATCGCGCTGCAAACTGAATTGTTTTTCTTAATACACACTACATTACCAATTTTTACCACCCACCTTTAAGGAGGAGAACATATTGCATAAACGGATGTGTAATAAACTACACATCCTTTCTAACTTTGCAAACGAAACTATGGCACAGTGTTCTAACACCCTTGTAGGATGCTATAATATGTGACGATCATTTTTAAGGTCCCAAAAAAACCTAGGACTAGTGGAAATTTAAGCTTGTAGTGACCTACTTTTATCAAGAGAACGTGATTGCTTTAATGGAATCAATTATTATTATAACCAATTGTACCAGTGATTGTTTTACTGTATTTGTTTGCTTAACTGTACTAAAGACATTCTTCCTTACATTAATTGTGACCTTGCACGAATTTGGTTGCGCTCAGTAACCACACTTGTAACCTGGCGCGATCTCGGTATTCTTTCGTAACCACGAGATCGCCAACAAATACATCTCGATTACAGCCATCAACTGCCTTCTGATATTTAGCTTACGGGAGATCTTATCGGTTAACTGGCACGTAGTCTTCCTGTAGTTGTGATCCTAGTCAACCGCGACTCGACGCTACACTACAAGCTCAAAACAATAATATTATATTCAGTCTTCTATAACACCAAACGGTATTATCTTGAGCTGCAGTCATGCCATAGGCCAACTATTTTATTTACAGCCACTAATCCTCTGAGACATTTCTGCAATGCAACTTGATTTTGTTAACAATAGAAAGATTAACTAATAATGGTAAGTTGCAGGGAGCTGTATTTAATGTCTATGTAGTCTTTACTTCTTTCGAAGGCAACTGTGCATGCTAACTTTCTAACTCATTCTGGCACCAGTAAATACCTACAAAAGTTTACTTCTGGAGACCAACGACATCTTTGCAAAGCTTGTCTTTCAAAGAGATATGAATACGTTGCAAGTAGTACATATATATGCATCAAAGTGAATCAGCATTAAAGGAAAAACTATGTGAAGGAAGGAATATGCTGTAGTTATATGAATTAATGATTCTATAGTACTTGATGTGTGCCTGATTTCGAATTCTGAATACAATACGTTCATTTGTACTCACCTACTTGCGTCTAGTAGAAATTATGCTATTTTGGGAATTCCTAGTTCGTATAATGACTCAAATACTTCTAATTATCATACCTGCGTCCATAAACTTATAATGCATCTGGTTTTCGACGTTCAATACGCGTTAGACTTTGATGCAGTCACACCTACCTGATGTTTGTTCTGATGCTGTCGTTCGGAATAACGATGAAAGCTCTATGACTAAACCATCCAGCGCATATGAAAAAACTCCATCAAAATCATGCACCTGAGCTACAAATCTTCTGCACCACGTGTCAGGTTATAACTCATTCTGAATCTTACTCCATCAAATTCTTGCTCTTACTAAATAGAGTTTTGGCATTACAGCTGATGTCAGTTCGTGACGAAAACCCTAAATCTAGTTTTTAATCTTAACCACCAACCGTATATCATGATTCTAATTGGTTTATAGCTATCCGTTCTCAAGGTCACTTTAGCGTCGCTCGAAGGTCGTCCATAAATTATAGTCTCACCACCATGTAACAAACATAAACATTACGAAACTTCATGTGAGACGGAAAAATGCTGTTAGTACCTGATAAATAACGATATCAAAAATCTTCGACAACATGTAACATGTGCGCGGAAACATTCTCACTGTGCCACAACTAAATGATATATTAAAACAAATACAGCATATAACTTGTTGAAATATCTAGATGACAGCGGAGGTAGCCCAGATGTTAAATCAGGCCGTTCAACAATCTCCGCTTCCACTAAATAACAAAGATTTACCCCTAAAATACTTTTACTGGCTTAAGTACCACGTTATTAGTCTGCAGGCTTTTACTTTTTCACGGCAAGCGTGAAGGCAGAATAAGATTATGTTGGCTCTTTCGGACTGTGATTTCAGGCAGAGCATAGTTCATATAGAACGTCTCTGTTCTTGATGGGTTTTAGCGAAATCTAGATTGGATTAGGACATTTTCAGTACAGGACTGTGTTAGGACACGTCAGTTGGCCTTTTTTATCATTCAGTCAGCTCTAGCGGATATTTAAATGAGACTGTGATCTTCGTATAGAAAATCATAAGTATACTATCTGGTTTCCTATTGTGATACTTACTTCCACCTAACCATTTTTATTTGGAATATAATTACGTTCCAGTTCAATCGTGCTCTAATTTGGGGATTTGTCAAGTGAAGTAGTTTCCAGGAATACTTAGCGATAAGAGTAGCCGGGTCGTAATAAGAGAAATCATAACAATGGGCGAAGCCTTATTTCTGTTACCCACACTAATAAACAGATTAAACTGACCCGCCTTCCAGTCTGTGTCAATGCCAGCCAAGCGCCGGAAAAGTCTTCAGATACCATCAACTGAATTAACAAACACCTTCGAAATAGAAGTTGTCATGCAGAACACTTACGTCCTCCTGTTTTTATTGTAAGTAGAATATATATCAACAACTTCTAGATATTGCATATATAATGCAATCCGGCCGTAACTACTAAAGCAGATTCTAGATACGAGCACGTCTCAGAAAGGGAATTCCCTCACCTCACGTTTTTGTCTTAGGAAACTGAGGACCTGCAATCGAATGCCACAGCCCGAAAATATTTTGGTGGACACTTGCCTGTATACATACGCGCTCAAACAGTCTTCACATCAGTTATAGTAAGTTCATGGACATTCTCTTCCACAACACATTTGACCACCTGGTATAAGGATGGTATGTAGATCTGTACTGGCCACAGATTTTCCTCATCGTCTGAAGTCAGTCGGCTCGTCCACTGACCACAAATCATCCAGGAACTTACACAAAGATGATCATACATAATCCAGCATAAATTTATCACGTGATCATTCTATTGTAAATCCACACTCAAAATTGACTGGAGATTGAAAAACCTAGATTTGAAAGATCACCTAAGATTAGCAGCCCTCACGACTTATCAATTGTTCCTAAACCTCACGTTTTGCATTTCCGGATGAACGTATGCTAGGATACACAGAATGAATACTTGCATCTAGTGTCATATAACGAGCAACTTCCTGCTTGTATATAGTGGGTATGAGTAGTCTAAAACACATGAAAATATGTTTCGAATACATGGTGCAATTTATTCGACGCTCTTTCGAGCTCCGTTCAACGAACGAACCGTCCGCTCAGCATGATATGCCTAGACGAATTAGTTTGGTCGACTGATGTATTTTCTGAACTAGAAGCATGACAAACGAGACTGCATTTATATGGAACGAAACAAAAACTGGTTATCGGGAAGCGAATTTTCTAAGTGAAGTACAGAAGGCCCTATTCACATTTGTCGAAGACGTCAACAGTCCCAAACTCACTGATTGTCAATCATCTCTTTAACTTTGGATAGAACGATGTGTTACTCATTTTATCAACCTATAAAATCGTATGTGGTTGTTGTCAATCATAGTATTTGCTTGCCTGGATAGAACACATTCACCAACGGAATTAGTTAAACAAGCTGTTTAGATAATTTCACACAGAAGCAAACAACCTGAGGTCTACAAAGAGCAAGTTGGAGGTTAGTGAGTAACTTTTAATATTTTAAGAAGTTAACAGTAGACGTAAATAAGCGAAAAAGTGGGAATCATACTAGCCTATATGAACGCGATCGACCTCAAGCGCTTCAAACACGGAATGCCCGTTGGCACTGGGTCCGCCCAAGGCCGTG